CAGAAACCACGCACGAGGCAGGATAACAACAACGGGTTTATTAACCCAAGATGCAGCACAGTGCGACACTCACAGGCCGTATAGGGTACTCCGCAAGACCGAGCAAGTACACTTGCCTAGGGTGCGACGACTCCGCACAAAGGGCCGAAGTCGAACGCACAGAACGAGAAGCTGCCTGCTAAGCAGCGCGTCAACCTCTCGTGGAGGCCTGAGAGCATCTGCCGCGACGAGCGAATCGTCGGGCCCAACACAGCTCGTAGGAGAGGAGGATGTCACGCGCGCCTAAAGGGAAATGGCGCTGCGTTGTGACGTAAGGCCCGCACACCGCGCCAGTGTAGCGTGCCCGCACATGCCAGCGCGGGAAGGAGCCGACGGTTGACTGGCCCAGACCAAGAGGCGCCCTGGCAGCCATCTTAGCGGATGCCGGTGCTTATGCGCGCCCAAGCTACGCCGTCGGCGCGCGCGCGGCAGCTGGGGAACGAGGCGCCAGGAAGGAGGGCGCTCTCGATTCCCACATCCCCACTCCTAAGACCGAGGCCGCCCTAAAGACGCCGTAATAACAGCATCCACCGACACCGAAAAAACTGAGGTCCAGGTCAGTGCCGTCCACGAGATCGACGGGGGCCCCGGTGTCTTCGTTCGGCGGTGTCTCAGCAGGAACCTGGGGCCGCGGGAGGGCGGCAGACACCTCAGCAGCGATGGCCGACTTGAATGAAGAGTTCGTGACGAGCGCCGCCACGACCGCCTGATCGGAGTCGGTCGACAGGGCGGGTCGAAGGCCCACGCCATGCGGCATCGCCGGAGTGGACAGGACGGTAGGGACACCGCCGGACTTCGCTCGGTGAACCCGCGAACGGAGGTGGGTAGCCTCGTGCAGCAGCAGGACACCACAAGCGTCGCAGTAGGAGGTCTCAGGAACAGGCGGCATCGAAGCACTTCCGGAAGTGTCGCTCTGGTCCGAAAGGGTGCGTCCGCAGAAAGGACGCAGGACGGACTCGGGGTTTAACGCCACCCAGACTATGTGTTGCTCGGACCAGCGACGAGTCGACACGAAGGCGACCGGGGCCTCAGTGCCTTGTTGGAACGTCCACGTAGCGCCTTCACGGCGAGGCGGTGTCTTGTTAGCCGGGGCCGGGGGGCGTATTTGGAATTGCTGGCCCCGCATCGCACGAAAGAGGGAAATGAAAGAGTGCGAGGAGAACGGCAGTGCCAGCCTCAGGATCGCTCGCACGCTATTGGTTCGCCTCTGGGGTGACGTGCTGGTGAGGTGCACGCCGCGGATGCAGCGACACAGAGCTTGCACACCTGCACCTCATTTTCAGCCATGCTCTCCGCTCTGCCATTGTACCTCTCCGGCTAAGCCGCGCAGCCCCCGCCATAATCAGTGGTAACGAGGGACGGGGTCGGGAATACAAAATAGGGTAGCGAAGAAGAGACTTCAGTTGGGTGCACGGTGTGTGGTTGGGTGCTCGAGCTGCCTATTCAGACGCCGCGGAAGCCTCAAAGAGGGCATTATGAACTCCCCCAAGATTGCCCGCTTCGTGGTCGTTTGAGGCAGAGACATGGGGCGAAAGAAGTGTTTAGGGCTGTTCCATCGTGCGGAAGCACCTTCGCCCCTTCGGTGCCTTGGATGGATCGCTACCGTGCGGCGAGGGCACGAGTGAGTGGGTTTTGATAAGATGGCGATAGCACAGTGATGGTTTCAATGAGCGAAGGGGCTCCGACTGTCAGCGTGAAGTGCCTCCGCGACGCCTTCAGCACAGACAGCAGCAAGCAACTAATATAACGTGGATCGACGTATTAGTTCCCTTGCTGTTGCTGGTGAGCCACTCGTTTGCATCCGTCTGTGCAGAAGTCGACAAGGAGGCAGTTCACGTCAGATGGGCTGACCGTAATGGTGTCTATTTTTCACATAAATGTTCGCGTGGCTGCCATGTCATTCAGAACCGTGTCGTTGACGGAAACGCGCTGCACGTTTGCTGTGCTGGCGTCTAATTCAGACGTGAGCGACTGCCATGAGAGTCGGAATCGCGTTTCTGCAAGGACAGTTGGAACTGGTATGGTGTGTGACATAAGCGCAAAGCACGTGACTGAACGTTAGATGGTAATTTCGAACTTTTCGCACGTAAGTGTCGACCACGCCAGGAGGGGCGCGTATGATGTAGTGGTTGATTGAATAAAAAAAAACAGTTACTCTTCTGCAACTTTTGCGGGTAGCACGGTTCAGTTCACCTCTTACAGGGAGACGGAAAGAGGGACGCTGAAAGGCAGAAGGAAAAGGTAGAGAAGGAGTGTGGCAGCAGGTTGTGGGTGCTTCCGTACGGTGGAACAGCCGCGAAAACTCCGCACATTCCATCGGGAGCACGTGCGTCCGTCACCTGACGTCACCTACACGCGCGCACGTCACCTACAGAGAGGAACCGATAGCGCGCGAGCAATCTTGACGCTGGCATCCTTTTCGCACTCTTTCTTTTCTCTCTTTCGTGCAATGCGGGCCAGCAATTCCAAATACGCCGCGCGCGTATGGATGGATGGATGGATGTGGCTGTACCCTTTAGATCGGGTGGCGGCTAACGCCACCTAGCCGTAATACTTAGTGAACTAACCATTAGATTTATCTTTTTTTTTTCCTTCAAATAGTGAGGTTGAGGATTCGTGCCCTTTAAATAGCGAGGTTGAGGATTCGTACCTTGCAGTGAAGGGTTTAATTTTTACTCGTGCCCTGACTTTAGCCACCAATCAGATAACCTCCTTCTAGTTAAGTCTACCCGCTTAAAGTCTATTTTGCCCTCCCTGTCCCTAAACCCCAGTGCTTTTAAAAACTCTGCACCATCATACTGACCTATATGGTGAAGCCCTTTACAGAACATTATCAAGTGTTCGGCAGTTTCTTCTTCCTCTCCACACGCAGTGCATACTGTGTCTACCCCATCGTATGTGGCCCAATATGTCTTGATTTGCAATACTCCCGTCCTGGCCTCAAACAGTAGAGAACTACCCCGAGTATTATCATAGATCCTTTCCTTGGCGATTTCCTGCTTAAAAGTTCGATAGATCTCTATTGCGGACTTCTTAATCATGCTGATTCTCCACATGTCAGTCTCCATTTCCTTCACATTTTTCTTAACCGATAATTCTTTTTGGTTTGGCCACCTGCTGTTTTCTAAGTATTTACCAGTCAATTTCCTGGTTCGCCTCCTCCATTTTGCATCGACATTCTTCATGTACAAGCAGCTGAAAACCTTCCTAGCCCAACGCTCCTCCCCCATTTCTCTCAATCGCTTCTCAAATTTTATCTTGCTGTTAGCTTCCCTGCCCTCAAATGATGTCCACCCCACATCACCCTGTACTCCCTGATTTGGTGTATTCCCATGAGCTCCTAAAGCAAGCCCACCTATTCCACGTTGCTTAATTTCTAATGTTGCTTGAACTTCTGATCTCATGCACAAGACCGCATTGCCGAACGTCAGCCCAGGAACCATGACACCTTTCCATATTCCTCTCACAACATCATACCTATTGTAATTCTACAGTGCCCTATTTTTCATCACTGCTGCATTCCTGTTACCTTTAGTCGTCACGTATATTTCGTGTTCCCTTAGGTACTCGGTCCCATTGCTTATCCGCCGCTACTTGTACACGGTGTAAAAGTAGCGGCGCCCCGCGGCGATCTCTGTAACGAGCGAGCGCCATGTTCAAATCAGCCAATGGCTTGTTACGCCTGAGAGTCCCGACCGAACGTCATTGCCTCTGCAAAAGCAAGCTGTGTCAAGGCCCGCGAACGAGCCCGCCTGACGCCATCATCTCAACGACTCACCTAACCCGACGCGCCGGTGACGCAACGCATGGCGAGCTCCCTCAACCCCGGGGCCCGATAGCAGCCCGACGATGCAAGCGGCGCCATCCAGTCTGGCGAGACTTACACAATGCGTGGCAACATAAGCCGCCCTTGGGGTGCAACCCAGCGCAGCGGCTCCGGATTTGAGGATCATGGCGCAACCCAGCGGCAGATCCCTATTGGAGGATTCTGACGCGTTCATAATTGAAATTTTGTTGAAGTGCACTAAAAAACAGACGGACAGAAAAGGCTGACAAGGACAGTGCTTGCTTTTTGTAGAGTGCCCTGAGTACTAGAGATATATTGCAGCAAGATGGCAAGCTGGGCCAGTTGGATTACATTCATAATTGAAATTTTGTTGGAACGCACTAAAAACAGATGGACAAAAGAGCGCTGTCTTTCTCAGCCTCTTCTGTCCGTCTGTTTTTTAGTGCACTTAAACAAAATTTCAATTATGAACGTAATCCAACTGGCCAAAACTTGCCATCTTGCTACAATATGATTCTGACGCGACCCGACGAAAGTTCTGATTGGACGTTGATGACGTAAAGGATTACCTGGGGCCTATCAAGAACCACGCCGCGCTTCGCCAAGCAGCCGACGTATGCGTCAGAGAGAAGACATCTCGGCTCTTCGAATCCCTAAGCTGTCGGCCCCAGTGCCGAATATGTAACGCCTCTATTTTTATGCTGTCTAAATCTTGCCTTAACTCACCGTTGTTTTGTACACTCGTCTATCAGCTCTGCACAGAAGCAGTCGCAAGCTGAGAAACACATGCTACCAAACGGCTGGTGACTTTAGCGACGAGTTTTGTAACAACAGCACCCTGCGGATCTATGGCGTTGGAGTTTCGTAACAGGCTGATAGATGGGTCATTGACGTGTGATTTTTGGGCATATACGTGATTTGTCGAGAGAAGGGAAAGCAATTTTTAGCCGACTTTGATAATTCATTATGAATAACAGGCTGCGTGCTGTGCTATAATATTTGGCTCGCGTGTTATCTGGAGCCTCTACTACCGATCCGCAGTGTTTTCTGGCCATGCTCAAAAAGTTTTGCAGGGCCCCTTTAAGTGAAAAAATTAACATCCGCATTTTAAACTAATTTTGTAAACTTCTGATGTACCAGTGACACAGCTGACTGTAGCATACAACAAAAGTGAAATTACTTATAGCTGGAATATTTATTGAGAGCATACAACAGTTTTCAGTCCATAAGAATAAGGTGCAGCTCCTAAAACTGTTACGAAGCTGTGTTTTTTTTCTCGGCTTCAGGAGTGTACTTTCTTTCCTTCTAAACCCAGCTATGCAAAAGTCAGCTGTCCAGAAACAGCCCATTCAAGTGTTTTTGCACACCAAAATCCAGTACATCGCTGCCATCAATGTTATTAGGCCGACATTTTTTAAAAACATCAAATTTTGAAAGGCCTCTCAACTACTTGCAATGGGCAAATGCTACTTTCCATGGAATGTCACAGCTCACTCTGCCAAAAATAAAAATGTCCCACAAAAAATTATCTTCAGAACATCATTTGTCCAGTGCAAAAAATCAAGAGAGGGATAAATAGAGCAGAATACTAAACAAATGAGCAAGCTTGAGACAGCCTCTCTGGGCGCACCCTTGCACTGCAGCGAGTAAAAAAGTATTTCTTAAAATGAAAAAAAAAAGCTTTCATAAGGAGAAGTAACCAGAGTGGAATGGGAATAGTCACAGGCCAAAACAAAACAGACAGGAGTCAAAGGCATTAATTTCCTTATAAAAGAATATCTGCAGCTCCATCACATCCGCAGATCACAAGTTTACTAAATAACAGGTCAGATACACTTTTCACAATGCCTCCAAAATTCATTAAAATAAGTCATTAAAACATATCAATAATTAATTTCAGACTAACACTAATTATAGATGTGTCCCACAATTACTAGCACAGAAGTAGCTAGGTTTAAGTTTTCATCCTAAATAAGTCTGAGCGAACCAGAATCGGTACTGTGAAGGGTTCCGCTTCTTTGTGTATGTGTTTACTAATTTTTGTGTATGCTACATCTGAGAAATGATAATAAACAGCACCAAAAAAAATCAACACATTATCAACCAGAATACTTATAACAAGCAGCAGGTATAAAGTATACAAAAAATGCAATAGAATGCACATTCGAAAAAATAAAAGTGGCGTAATAAATGCACCCTGAAGTAAAAAAGAAAACACGCATGAGTAACGGGAACTGTGGAAGCACAAAATGCAGTTTCTGCCTGAGGCAATGCTTCAGCGAGATTCTCACAATACAAAGCACGGGGGTGACATTATATGGATTGATTGATACTTCCCAAAACCACCATACGATCATGAGACGCCTACACTTGAAACAAATTAAAAACAATAAGCCAAGGCATCTGTTGTACATTCACCTTGCATACAGATGTTACACAGCACAGCATACATGTTCCACAAGACATGCCACTTATCCTTGAAGAAAAACAAACTAGTGTAAATATCACTCTGTTACTCTTCGGGCTTGCACTCTGCAAGTACAACTCCACCACAAAACCACACCAGTGCCATCAATAGCGGTCACTAAAATGCTCAGAGCAAGCTGAAATTGATTAAGCACACAGGACTGCTCCTAGCCAATAAAATTATGCGGAAATTGGTTAGTACCTAAGAATTGCTTAGAGTTTGCTTTAGAGTAAGTGCATATTCCAGAACAACTATTACTCTCACACCTGATCACAACCAAGTTGCCTCTTGCACAAAAATAAGTTTGTTATACAGTCGATCTCGGATATATCAAACTCTCATATATCGAATCACTGGCTATAACGAACCGTTTAGAAATCCCCTTGAATTTCCTATGCAAAGTATGGGACCAGCACACCCGTATACTGAACTCCCGCACAGCGGGACATCTGCTACATCAAATGCCACGCCAAGCCGAAGCCCAGAAAGGGCGTTTTTTGTATCAAGTATTGATCAATTTTTGGCCACGTTCTAACAAGTTCAGATTCCTTCTCACGCTGATCCGGTTCGTTGCGTGGCACTTGCAAGTGCACCGGTATGTTTGATGCGCTACCTGCAGCTCTTAAAGCGCCACTCAACAGGCTCCGAAACACTCATGAAAAGCTCGCGCATTTTCTGTGGGCGTGGCCAACTTCCTTATACGTGCAGTGATGTCAACTTGACCATCAGTGACCTTGACTTCATTGCTCTTTGCTTAGACCTGGTTTAGACCAATCGACGAGCTGCGTACTACCTCAAGTCGCCGATCGCCGAGTTAATGTCACTGTGTGTATAAGGAGGTTGGTCACGCGCAGGAAAAATGCGCGAGCTTTTCCTGTGCGTTTCGGAGCCTGTAGACTGGCCCTTTAGCGCACGGGCATAGTGTTTTTGAAAAAGACCTATTGCTGAGGATACTTCAATGAGAATGCGAAGTGACTCGGTGATCTAGTTGTAATGTTTGCATTTTCTTTTTTGTTAGTGCACAGTGGCATGCGAGCCTGAGAACTATGGCCTTTGAAATGTGCAACCTCGTGATGTTTTTCACTGTTTGCAGTTTCAAAATGCATGTTTCGAAGGCTAGATTTTTTCTAGCTTATTCGATCAAAGCCGCTGAAAGCGGCGGCTGCCAGCTACAAAGCCACAATTGTCATCAATATCGTCAGCACGTTGACGGTGAAAACTCGGGGTTGTCTTTCGCGCTTTATGGACATGCGCACTTCTCGTCTCGTTACTGATGAATTCGTCTTCAGGAGTTGAACTGACCCGCACGTAGGGATAAAAATTGTGACTGACCCTTGGAGCGACGTCAAGCAAGGCACCGTTGTAAACTTTCCTTGAGGGCCAAGTGACGACTTCGGGTGCGTCATGACTGCTGATAACGGCGTATGATGCCTCAGTGAATTCTGCAACTTCTCAGCATTTCTGGGCACTATCTCGGACAGTGAGCGACTTATCTGTGCAGATGATGAAGTAGCTATTTCTGACTTTCAAATTACCATGATTTAAAATCATGGCTATTGTGTCTGATGCCGCGTAAGTGTACCCATGCAGCTATGAATATGCCAACGCCATCGCTGCCGCCACCGCCCTACAAAGCTTATATTGGTGTTCTGCATCAAACAATGCTGTTGAGGTTGAAAGAGCTGATTTCATTTATTTGAAGAGCTTTAATGATATTGAGGATGACAACCTGGTGGCACGCAAGAAGAAAGTCAAGCTTACGGAATATTTCATGTGAAATAAAGTGCGGTAACTTAAAGTTCACAGCTTGCTCTTGATTATACTGTGAGCGAATCATAATTTGAGCACTTGTAACGATTTCCGAGGCCCGAAATGCTTTTATTAAGGCCTTAAATACGCATATTTTTTATTTTGAATTATCGCTATATCGAACTATTCTGCGATCCCCTTCGAGTTTGATATATCTGGAATCGACTGTATCTGAAAGTTCGTTACAAAGGTTTATTTCTAATACTATACCAATTGCAAGACTATTTTTCATTTACTTCATTCTAACCGATATATGTCATTATCTTTTAGCTTGTTACATTGAGGGTAGAGTCTATTTTGTTTTTTCATACAGAGGAAAAGCTTCAATAACAAAGGGAAAGTTATCAGGAGAGAGTGAGAAAAAGTGACAACTGAGGCTTCTTTATTTTTTTTTAAACTTCAACTTGCACTCTCAAGAAGCTTGGAAGACAGTACTATGTCATTCTACATACAGAACAAAGATAAACAGATTGGGATGAACAAAAACAATTAGTCACATACTCGTGTGTCTCAAAATTTACAGTATCAAATATGGCACATTTCAAAAATCACCTAATTACAGCAGTTTCAAAATCTGCTTGTTCATTCGCATACTCACCCCATTTACGCAGCACGTGGACATCCCACAACACTGTACAAACAAGCATAGACCCACCAGGAATTCCCGTGTAGCCTCTTTGCACCATAGAAAGGATGGAAAAAGCCTGAAAAATGTCAGGGAACAAAAAATGTTGGAATCACAGTGGAATGTTGCCGTGCTTCTTCTTAGGGTTTTTCAGCTTCTTGGTTTGTAGCAAGTCTAGGTCTTTGCAAATCTTCTTGCGGGTCACGTTCGGCTCAATGATGTCATCGACGAAGCCTGCAGAAAAAAAAGATAAAGATTTTATCACTGCGCATAGACAAACATCCTGTAAATGAGTTTCTAAGTTATAGTGAGCCAATCTTTAACCACTACAAAATCTTTTTTCACTAACGATTATGCCTAGCTCACAGGAAGCCACAAGTATTTAGCTGCAAGGGAAAAAGCAGAGCTCTTTGACAACCTCTTTAATGGTCATGAAACTTTCCGATAATGTGTAGAGCTGTGCAAATAGGAAAATTTGGGTGGGAAGCTAATTTGAATGTTGCAGTGTGAGTGCGATTTAAATTGAACACAGTCGATCCAGGACACATAGAATTCGAAGGGCATCGCAAAATAGTTCGATATATAGAGAATTCGAAATACAGAATACGCACATTTAAGGCCTAATTAAAGCATTTTAGGTCTAGGGAATCATTACGAGTGCTAACATAAGATTTGCTCACAGTACAATGAACAAGGTGCGAACTGCAAGTTGCCACACTTTATTTCGCATGAAAAAGAGTCCATGAACTTGTCCTGCTTCTTATGCTTTGTCAGGATTCAGTCATCCTCAATATACTTGAAGATTTTTAAATAAACAAATTTAGCTCCTTCAGCCTCAGCAGCATTGATTGACGCAAAACGCCAACGCAAGTTTTGAAGCACGGCAAAATCTTGCTTAGCGGCGGCTGCAAAAGCGGTGGCATATTGATAACTGCATGGGTACACTTGCACGGAAACGGCAGCCATGATCTCCGCATTGATGCAGTCAGAAGAAGCTACGTCGTCATCTGCAACGATAAACTCTCTCACTGTTCGAGATGTAGCTAGGAAACGCCGATAAGTCACAGAATTCACCGAGGCACCGCACGCTGTTGTCAGCCGTTGAAGTATGACATATGAAGTTGTCACCTCGCCCGCAAGGAAAGTTTACGGCGGTGCTTTACTTGACATCGCTCCGAGCGCGTCATGATTTTTATTGCTACGTGCGGGTTAACATTCTGTTCAACATCTGAATGAGGGTTTATAAGGAATGAGGCGAGAAGTGCGCATGTTCACAATGCGCAAAAGAAAACGCCAAGTTCTCACTGTCGAAATGTTCGCGATATTGATGTCACTTGTGGCTTTGTAGCTGGGAGCCGCTGCTTTTAGCTGCTTTGATGCAAAAAGCTATAAAATGTGTAGCCCTCTAGACGTCTGTTTTAAAACTGAAACCACTAAATATATGTCACAAGATTGCACATCTCGAAGGCCATGCTTTTCAGACTCGCATGCCCATCGCATGTTATTGTGTGTGAACAAACAAAGAAGGAAATGTGAACATTGCAACAAGGTCGCCGAGTCACTTCGCATTCTCACTGAGGTATACTCGGCAATCGGTCTTTTTGAAAAACACTACACTCGCGCGTTAAGACCTTCAGATTGTGCATCAAACATACCGGTGCACTTGCAAGTGCCGCGCAACAAACCAGAACAGCGTGATGGAATAACACTGCCTTTTCGTCACCTGCGCGTGACAAGGAATCTGAACTTGTAAGAACGCGGCCGAAAATTGAGCAGTACTTGATACGAAAAATGCTCTTTCTGGGCTTCGGCATGGCGTGGCATTACATATAGCTGATGTCCCGCTGTGCGGGAGTTCGGTATACGGGTGTGCCAGTCCCATACTTTGCATGGCAAATTCAAGGGGATTTATAAACGGTTCAATACAGCCAATAATTCTATATATCTAAATTTGACATATCCAGGATAAACTGTATATTTAGAATACTTTTGGAATACATTAAAGTGAAATTGCAGAAAAAAAAAAAGTTGGAAAGGATTCCTAAGCATGCTCTTGTGAGATAGCAATGTGAAAGTTTCTTTTTGCTAGGTTGATGAAGCGCTGGCGGGGTGGTGTTTCATAGTTGTCTTATCAAAAATGAGGCAATGCAGAGGCCTAATCGAAATTATGTGCAGTATTTCATACAACCAAAGTGTTGCCGACAACACTTTACGTGTGAAAGGACAAAGATGCTATTTCCTCGGCTTCTCTTTCCTCTTTCAACTTCTGTCTAAACCAAACTGATGTGGCTGACAAGGGTGGGCTGCCTTTGAGTCCACAGTTCTAAATTTGCCTTGTAGATGTAAATATACAAGAATGTGAAATTTTTGATGCTAAAAGTCTTCAGTGTCTGATTTTTCAAACTTTCTGCCTAAATTTCAACTCCAAAAAATCATTCATTTAGCCCCCCACCTTTGCCACATCTATCATCTCCCTGTTGGAACCAGCGTTTTTTTGAGTGAGTAGCATATCTGCAACCATAGCAGAGCCTGAAGGACAGCTTTGCCACAATGCAAAAGTGTGTTGGGTGAAACATACTGAAACCTTACTGGGCCACCGGCAATCTGACGTTGACTGTATTTATCTTCGGGAAGTTCAAATCGTAAAATTACAGTGCGAATCAAAACAAATAGTACACACTATTCAAAGAATATTCGAAATTTTAAATATTTGCACACCCCTAAAAATTAGACATGCTTAAAAGGAAGCTGTTCATACGAGGCAACACTGTTTAGAACTGTAAAATCAACTAGGTGAATTTGCATGCCTATTAAAGTTATCCTTGCAATGCTTCTTAATGCATTACTAAACTTCTTAATACCCATTGTTCAGAGAGCCAAAGCTATAAAATTATTCGGTCTACCGCAGTTTCAACTCCACATCCATCATCATCACCAGCCTTACTACGCCCACAGCAGGACGAAGGCCTCTCCCATGATCAGCCAATCAACATAGTCTTGTGCTTTCCATTGCCACGTTACACCTGCGAACTATTTAATCTCATTGGCCCACCTAACTTTCTGTCTCCCCTTCGTGCGTTTGGCTTCTCTGGGAGCATAGTCGTTACCTTTAAAGGGGCCCCGAAACACTTTTTTGAGTAACCATGAAATTAATTCACTGGAAGAAGCGTACTGCATAAAAAAGTCAACGCGCAACAATTTCAAGAATCTGTACAGTATGAGCAGAGTTGCAGATTGCAGTGTGTGACAAACATTTGTGACACGCTGCAATCGCATTCTCTCTTCTCTCGTCCCCTCGAAAGTGCTGGAAGCTAAGCAGGGAGAAATAGGAGGGGGCAACAAAAAGTCACGTGCGCCTCCTGGCCAAAAACGAGGGACAAGAAAACAAGGAGACAGACAGTGGCACTGACTTACAACAAGGTTTATTTGCTGAAACTGCGCAATATATACTTGACAGTATCTGACAAATAAGAGGAATGACAAATCCAAGAAAACAGAATTCACCTAACAACTAAGCAATCATCGTGATAACGCGCCATGAACATCACGTGTGCCATAGTCCTGAAGAAAATTTATTTCTTTCTGTAATACACCAAATAACAATTCACGTCAGAGCAAAAGCTCAATGTATGACAACATCTAAAATGACAATATTATCAACAACAGTGCCTTACTTACAGAGAAATTACGGTAGATGCACAAGAACACATGCGCCATAGTAGGACATTCTCAAAATGATCGCGATGACATCAGACAGACCGCCTACAATTAATCACTAGTAATGGATCTAGCTGCACTAAATAAAGAACTTTCCATGCATCAAGAGACGCAGTAAAATGCTGCTTGTACATTTCTGTTTGATTAATGAAAAAAGAACCGCCAAACGTTACTATGGGGAATGGCGCGAGTGGTTCGAAAATTAAATTTTCGCGTAGTTACACTGGACAGGTGGTGCCACCTAGTGGGGCACAGTCTAACCAAAACATCTGCAATCTCGAAGCCAATGGCGGGAAATTGATCAATGGCCGCTGTTGCTGCTGTGGCTCCCGCTGCTTTAGGTCGGCTGGACAGTGATGTGAGTCTGTCCGGTCGGTCCGATCAGTGAGGCAGGTAACTTAAAGTGTGCTAACACGATGCGGACCCCTAAAATGTGATTTTATTTCAAAATGGGCCCTTCTTTGGCACAAACGTAACACTACGAAGTTTCTGGACCGCTATTTCAACAATCAACATTGACTTAATAGTCGACTTTAGTGTCCCTTTACGGTTACACCTATCATCTTCCTTCCTATTGCTCCCTGTGTCGTCCTCAATTTAAGCTGAACACTCTTTGTAAGCCTCCATGTTTCTGCTCCGTAGGTAACTACTGGCAAGATGCAGCTGTTATATGCCTTTCTCTTGAAGGTTAGAGGCAGATTACCATTCATTATTTAAGAATGCTTGCCGAATGTGATTCACCTCACCCATACTCCCTTAGTTATTTTCCTCTTATGGTTGGGGTCGCGGTTACTACCTCTCCTAAGTAGACATATTCCTTTACAACTTCCAGCGTCTCTCCACTTATCGCAAAATGCTGTTTTCTGCCGAGACTGTTGCACATTACTTTAGTTTTGTGCATTTCAATTTTCAGACCCACTCTTCTGCTTTCCATGTCGAGTACAAATATCTTGAGCTGTAATTTTTACCTTGAGTTACTCATCAAGGCAATGTCATCAGCGAACCGCAGGTTACTAAGATACTCCCTATTAACTCTTATCCCTAAGTCTATAGGGTCCTGAATACCTCCTGTAAACATGCAGTGAAAAGCATTGGAGAGAACATGGCTCCCTGCCTTACACCCTTCTTTATTAGGATTCTGTTGCTTTATTTATGGAGAACTAAGGTGGCTGTGGACCCTCTGTAGATTTCTTCCAGTATGTTTATGTAGGGTTCTTCGATTCTCGTAATCTATGAAGGCTATGTATAGGGGTTGGTTGTATTCCACTCATTTCTCTTTTACCTTATCGATAGTATGGATATGGTCTATTGTGGAGTAGCCTGTACGAAATCCTGCTTGGTCCTTTGGTTGATTGAACTCTATGTCACCTTAATTCTATTTGCTACTATTTTTGTAAATACAGTAGACTCTCATTAAACAGAACCTGAAAGGACCAGTAAAATGTGTTCCGTTTAACAGGTGTCCCGTTTACTGAGAGATGAGCGCACAATGCAAGAACGAAACCTATCTTGTCAGAAGCATTCGTTCCATTTAAGCAGCAGTTCCGTTAAGTAGATTTGCATTTGCTGAGAGTCCACTGTAGTTTGTAGAGAACGGACAGTAAGCTCATCGGCTCGTAATTTTACAAGTCCTTGACATCTCCCTTTCTCCCTTCTTTTAAATTAAGACTATGTTAGCGTTCTTCCAAGATTCTGGTAACCTGCCCGCCAAGAGTCACTTCGTATATATGGTGGCCAGTTTTTCTAACAGAATTTCTCAACCATTTTTCAGAAGGTCCGTTGTTACCTTAACCTCGCCAACAGCCTCCTTGCATTCTTTCTAGGGCTTTCCTTACCTCCCCTGTCTTTACTGATAGGATGTCGAATTCCTGTGGACTATTATTGTTTCTCTCAATATCATCCTGGTTGTTTTGGCTTCTGTACAGCTCTCTGTAGAACTCCTCCACCACCTCGACTATCCTAACCATCTTGGTTACAGCATTGCAGTCCTTGTTCCTTATTGCATACATCAGATTTTCGCCTATGCACAAGTTTGTATTCGCAGCTTTTAGGCTTTTGCCGCTTTTTACAGCCTGCTCAATTCTCTCCTTGTTATACCTTCTGATGTCGGCAACCTTATGTCTATTGATTAATTTTGAAAGCTTCACTAGCTCTATTTTGTCAGTTACATTTGAGGCTTTGATGAATTTTTGTCTCTTAAGATTTTTTTGTCTCCTGAGATAGTTTGCCAGTGTCCTGTCTAGTGACTGTACCTCCGACTTCCATTGCACACTCTTTGATGATACTAGTAGGAATATCGTTGATTGTGGTAACGCTAACTTCGGTTACATCATTTAGTGCCTCAATTCTATTCTGAAGCGGAACTCTGAATTACTGTACTTTCGCTTCCACCGCTAGTTCATTAAATGGCTTCTTGGTTATCAGTTTTTGTCTTTGCTTTCTTAAGTGGGCTGATTGATCTTAGGCATCCTTTTGTTTATTTCTTTAGTGATATTGATAAAACTGTACAGGATTATGCACTGTTTTCTGCTCATTTCAAATATTCACTTAGTTTTCCTGCAACTCATTTTGTTCCTGAGATAACTTACGTTCACCCCCCATTGTTTAAGGCTGCCATAGAAAAAAAAGTGCTTAATTAAACGTTGATTGATATGTGGGGTTTAACGTCCCAAAACCACCATATGATTATGAGAGACGCCGTAGTGTAGGTTCCCGGAAATTTCGATCGCCTGGGGTTCTTTAACGTGCACCCAAATCCAAGTACACGGGCCTACAACATTTCCGCCTCTATCGGAAATGCAGCCGCCACAGCCGAGATTCGATCCCGCGACCTGCGGGTCAGCAGCCGAGTACCTTAGCCACTAGACCACTCTAGTGGAGTCTTAATTAAAAAAGATATTTAACATATGCCAACATAGACTAATGACTATAGATTATAAGTATGCAAGAGTTTTTGTTTTTAGGCCTTTCTTGGTTGCTTTACAGCAAAATGAACTATCCATTTTCAAAAGCAGTTGGAATTGTGTTACAATTTTGATGAGTAATTAATTAAAAAAGCTTGTGCTCTAAATTCTGCTCCCATACTTACATTCTACACACATACAGGTTTACATTGCAAAAAGAATTATTGCTACCCTAGCTGCAGAGATATTGAGGCCTCAAAATTCAACAGTCATAAATTTACTTTTTTGAGAAAAATAAAAAAAAACTGAAAACACACAGCTTCTTCAAAAAGCAACAATCACGGTGCGCATGTTTTGCGATCCTCATAAAGGTGCTTTTAAATTCGTAACAGAGGTTCTAACACAGGTACTCACAAATTATAAAGAAGCCTCGAAGTTTGTTCCCCTTTTTCTACAGGTTCTGCATGTTAATTGAAATGTGGGGTTTAACGTCCCAAAACCACCATATGATTATGAGAGACGCCGTAATAGAGGGCTCCGGAAATTTTGACCACCCGGGGTTCTTCAACGTGCACCCAAATCTGAGCACACGGGCCTACAACATTTCCACCTCCACCGGAAATGTAGCCGCCGCAGCTGGGATTTGATCCCGCGACCTGCGGCTCAGCAGCCGAGTACCTTAGCCACTAGACCACCATGGCAGGGCGTTCTGCATGTTAACAGCACCAAGAATCTGGACAGTTAGAATGACATTACTAAAAAATGACCACTTCCTGGTGTGTGAAAATTTGCAGAGAGAGAGAGAGGTAAACGTTTATTTTTGAATCAGTGCCCTGAGCAATCCCCAGTGTTACCCTGAGGTGGGAGGGATCCTTAGTCCAGGAACCCTCTGGCTTCTGCTGCCCTCTTGGCCCTAGCGACGAGTTGTTGGTATTCCAGGTCCTCGAGGGCGAGCTTCGCTTCCCACGTTTCAGTTAGGTCTTCGTTCGTCCGTCCTGCTTCATTATCAGTCGTGTGTTGTTGCAGATTACGTCTGGCAATACACTGGCATGCAAGACGCAAGTGTGCCAGGGTGTCCGGTATGCTGCAGAGCGGGCACATAGAGCTTTATCTTGTTGGGTAGAGACGGTGCATTAGGGCCCCATGTGTGTATATGTGTTGGTTTGCAGGCGTCTCAGTATCACACTTTCCTCTGCTGTCAGTTTTGAGTGTAGTGGAGGGTATACTCGTCGCTTCAGGCTGTAATGCTGGAGTAACGACGAATAGGTGTTTTGAACAACCTCCTTTTTTTTCAACGACGCGTCGGATGTCCCGTGGGCAGGGGGCAGCCCGGCTGACGTGCTCGCGGGCAGCGGCGTGGGCCGCTTCATTTCCCTGCAGACCCTCGTGTCCTGGCACCCATAATATACAAGTGTATGGGGGAGGAGCGCTTCGCCTTTTCAAAATATTGATGGCATTGGCTGAGATATGGCCTTTAGCCAAATTCCTGCAGGCACCTTGCAAGTCGGTGAAGATCACCACGGCATCTTTACATGTGGTGGTTGCGAGAGCGATTGCCAATTCTTCTACTGCGTCTGAATTGAGTGCTTTGACCGTGGCGGACGCTGATTCTTGGCCTTGAGAATCTACTACGCTGACAGCGCACGCATTTCTATGCTGATACTTGGCCGTGTCAGTGTAGCGGGCGTCCGGGTCTTGCTTGAACTTTCGTTGAATGGCGTCAGCTCTAGCCTTGCGCCTACTTTTGTGGAAAGCAGGATGCATGTTGCGTGGAATAGGTGCGATGGACAGCGACTCTCTAACGTACTTGCAAAAACCAAATATGTCAATTTTAAAAAATCAATTTTTTGTCACTTCTCGGTCCCAAAATACCAGTCAGCCCCCTCAAATGTAGGTGAATACGAGCTCTCAACATTCTCTGGTCACTGCATCGGATCTTGCCAACTATTTCTACATTGTGTACAATGCCTGGGTTTGCCCACAAAATTAAGTCTATTTCATTTTTAGTTTCGCTATTAGAACTTCGCCACGTCCACTTACGGTTACCCTGTTTTCCGAAAAAGGTATTCCAGATCCGTAAATTATTAGATTCTACTAATAACTCCCCTCTGGCATTTCTAGAGCCGATGTTATACTCCCTCACTGTACATTACTCTAACAATTAACCAAACACCTGATGCAAGGTGCATGGTTTATCTTGCAGAGTCAACACGAGAAGCAGCAGGTTCAGTTGATGGTTGCCAAATGGTTACTCACCTCTGACGGCAGCCGGGAAGGGGTTGCCAAACTTGCGGATGTACTCCTCTTCGTACTGTGCCACATCCTTTTTGCCCCGATACAAAATAGAAACAGCACCTTTGGCTCCCATGACAGCAACCTCAGCCGTGGGCCAAGCGTAATTGGTGTCTCCCCTCAAATGCTTGGAGCTCATCACATCGTAGGCACCTCCATATGCCTGCAAATGCGTTTCCATAATAAGAAGGAAAACAGTTGCTCAAAAGTGACCAGGGCATATTTTTATTTATATTATTATTTTTTTCAGTGAGAAAGATATGCTGGACTGGTGAAACTAATCTAAATTTTTCAAAGACCTGCAAGTGTGCCTTGTCAGTGACGCATGGCATGGAGCCTTGTGCACCCTGTCAAAGAGACCAAACGCAGTGATCTACTTTTTTACTGCAGCAAGATGGCAAGTTGGGCCAGTTGAATTACGATCATAATTGAAAATTTTGTTGAAGCGCACTAAAAAACGGATGGACAGAAGAGGCTGACAAGGACAGCGCTTGCGTTTTTTAGTGCGCTTCAACAAAATTTTCACTCTACTTTTCTACTTTTTACTTTTGTTGCTTATACAACACTAAGAATCTGACATTTGCAATGTTAACCTATCTGAAATGGTCTTCTCTTTCTCCGTTAGGCACAAGCATGCTTTGTTCCTAAGCCACTGAGGAGAACGAGAAAAAGACATAGAATCACAGGAGGGTGATGCCACCTGGCCACGAAAATGCAAACGAAAATACTTTCATCTCCAAATGTTGCCACAATCTCTGAGCAAGCCTTAGGGTCACAAAGTGCTGCAATGCCTGCTCGCTTTCCATGTACATTCTCCTTGAACCAACTCGAATAATCGAGCCACTGTGGCTATTTGGGTAGCACACTTGTCTCGCACCCTGAAGGCATGTGTTCAAGCCCTGTTCCAACCCAAGTTTTTTCAATTTTCTACTCAGCTGAATCAGTAAACATTGCAAAAGCTTTTTCACGAAATGTGGTGTTAATACAAGCATGCTTTGATCGGTATCGATTGCTTGCATCTATCAGGATTTTTCGCTTCTAACACCACTGAATATATTGATGATACAGTAAAACCTCATTAATCCGAACTCTTATTTAAAAATGTTTCTGCTGTACCATATCTTGTCATGAGAGACTGAGCAAGTAATTCGAAGTGCCGGTAAGCACCAGTCCAGTTAATATGAAAAATTTGGGTGCCATGTGCCCATTCCCGATATCGCCGCAATTCCACGGAAATGACGGTCCTTAAGAGCCACAAGGCAGTGCAACGTAGTGATACTAATGAGTGGCAGCTGAAGCAGCCTAGCCTTGCTACTTCCAGCAGGGGAAAAAAAAAAGGTCTTGCGATTAATCAAAATGTGTGCCTGTAGAAAAAATGTGCTTCACTGCAAGACAGTGGTGATGCGCGGGCAGCATACTGTATGTTTCTCGCAACGTCAGTAGGTGATGATCTAGCCATTCTTTCTGGGATTGTAAAGAAATTGTTAAAGGACAGCTTGGCGAAACTCGCCCTGTATATGAACCTCCTATTGCCGGTTGTTCCAGCAACTTGAGCCCTTCCACTAATCACAGAGTTCTTGCCTGCAACATATACTTCGAAAACGAAGGTTGGGAGTTTTAATGATGATCTTTTTCCAGTCAAAACACATCGCAAATTTCATCACACTGGCCATTATTAAATTCCTTGTTTTGCCAAAAAGAATGGGTGAGCGGCAGTATCATGACGTGCTGATGTAATGAGGAGCAGACAATATGTTGCCCGTGTGTCACTACTGTATTGCAGTGAAGATGTCTTGTTTTCCCTGCAGGTGCACATTTCATTAATCACGACAGCGTTTTTTTTTCCCCGGTGGAAGCAGCAAAGCCCGCCTTCTCCCATGTTTGCGGCAAAATAAGATAAGGTATTGCATGAAAATATAAAGCTTGGAGCCACGAACAAGCAAACGACAAGTCCTGATTACTTTGAATAGATCTAAGTACCTTGCATCCCACTTTTTGTGTTCTGATAATTATTGGAAGACCCGCTTAATACGAAGATTTCTCGTGGCCCCAGTGACTTCGAATTAACAAAGTTTTACTGCAGCACGACATTTTCTGCAACACGAGCTCCTTGATGCTATAATGTTAAAATGCTATTACGAAAGGCAGTTGCTGCTCTGTTGATGACAGGACCAACAACAGCTTCACCAAAATATTTTGTTCAATGATTTCTCTTTGCATCAAGTTTGTATTTTTAAGTGAACTAGTTTCTTGATTGAAGCTCACAGACATCCCTTATGTCTGAAGTCATATCCAATTTAGGTGTCACAATAAAACAGTGACGTTCCAGCGGGCATCCCACTGACAAATAGTGTTTCAAGACGCAGTAGTCCATCTATGATTCTAGACCTTTTAAACCTCTTGTAGCACCTAACTTGCACGTGGGATAGAACTCACCTTCCTAGTAATTATGGTTATTTTGGGTACGGTTGCTTCAGCATAAGCATACAGAAGTTTGGCTCCGTGCCTGATAATTCCTCCATACTCCTGAGCGGTACCTATATAGGAAAGAAAGAAAAGAGCTAAGCGGCTTGCACGGCTGGTTTGCATAAGCACACAGCGCAAACAATATAATTAATTTCACTTTTTCTTAATGCATTGCCTTTTAGCACTGTGAAGTGTGTCATAATGAAGCAGAAAGTTGATAGTAAACTGGTGGTTCATGTAGCCTTGTGCCAGATATGGCGAGGAGCAGCCGTGGAAGAACTCAAATCCCGTCGAGATAGTTAAAAGAGGCTTTTCTTGACAAAGGCCATTCCTACTCCCTCTTTCCCCTCTCGTGCTTGCTGGTGCTTCTGCTTCTGCATGTGGTGGGCACTCGCGATAGAATCAACAGCTGCATGCTTTTTAGGGAATCGGTTCATGCTGCTGCACTTCAAACCCAGTGGCCTTGTAATTACAGCTTAATCAAACTTCTCCTGTTTGTTCGCTCTACTTCGCTTTTAAGGGGGGACGTGCCCTTCGAAAACCGAAAAATTGCAAAAAAGCCGATTTTTCGCAAACCACACATTCAGGCAGTGTGTCACATTAACAATCTGTTTTATAAATATCAAAGCCTAATTCATCGCGAAAGTAAGTCAAATAAATTATATAGCATACTGCGGCAGCTGGTGAGCGACTAGCAAGCGCTGAAAATACCCCAACTTCACGCGTTTGCAATTTCCAAACCACGCGGCCCAGCGTCGCAATATTGGTCTCGTTTTTCTTGTGAATTTTTGCTCTTTTTTTAAGCCACCCGCGGCTGCAGCTGCAGCGTGGCCGATGCAGGAATCGCTCATGATTGGGGGGACTCTCGAAATTTTAATGTCTCCGGTGGATCAGATGTGAAACCGCGATTGGAGGAAGCGCGGGCATCTCGAGAAAGTGGGATATCACACGGCTACTATTGGCTGCTATGCACGATGATGCATCTGTTCCCCTGGCTTGCCGTCTGCTCCGGCGCTTTGAAGGCTGGCATTCTTTGTGGGCAGTGGTGCCAGACTTATGAACTTGTCCGTAGATCTACTGATTCTCTTGGTTACCTACGAATTCCTAGATGAAAAGAAAATTCTATGTATTTTAACGGACATAACACATAAATTCTACGGAATTCTATGAAGTTACTATGCTTATTTTTAGTAGGGATATCTGCATCCTCTACCAAACCCATCTCAAGGACAGTCAGCACCTGCCAAAATATTCTTCTCTACCTAGAAGAATGTAGATTAGCCACACACATGAGCTCACAAGAGGCGAATGCACCCACTTGCACATGCCTCCAACGAGGGCCACAGAAAAGTATTTTCATCGCTTCCAGCCTCATCCCCTACACCTCATTAGTGACGGGTATCCCCATGTTTCACCAAAATCGCGGTGTAGGCATGCGAGTCTGAGGTGCAATCAGCTGCGTCTCTAGCATGGGATCTCTCAAACAGGTGCTGGAAAAGCGTCAAGAAGCTCACATTGCTACTGGGAACATTGTATAGATAACTTGCACCTGATGTCGCAGACAGGTTCTCTGCGCTAGGCACCTAAAACTGATGGCCGCCATTGCTTTTTAATGCATTTGAGAGCGCCAGTGTAAGAGACGACACAGAGTCGTTCAACTGCCGTGTTCCCTTGGGAACTGCCCACTTTCTTCTGTTCGCCAGCCACACCAAGGGGAGAATGCAATTGAAAGTGGCATGGGCACTTGCTTTACGCGGTCAAGCAAGAGTTTACACAGCATGCCCCTCAACTGGCTATCTACAGATGGCGACCACAGTGAACACAGCGCAAGAATGGTGTCTGGTTAGACGATGAATGAGTTTTGGCCGTTGGTACCTTAGCTATTGCGGGACTTGACAAACTGGCTAGTTTAAAGCTTAACAAGCCAAAAGAGAGAGAATAAATGTCTTGTCGGTACTTTTCAGACAATGTCTTCGGGGAAGTTTCTCTCTTCCAGAAAACTACAGCTTACACCCCATCGATGGCTGTCACTACCAGCTGGGGTTCGTCTGAAAGGGAGTGCACACGCTATCCACACCGCATGTGGCGGGGCAGCTGCCGCACGCAAACAGAGAGCGAAAGAGTGCCTCCGCTTGTGTACGGTAGGTGTTCCGGCAAGTGTAGTGCGGCTGTGCGGACAGCACGTGAACAGCTGTCGCCTGCAAAAAACAGAGCCGGATGGTCCAGATGTATGCTCAACTCTGCTCCAGCAACTGCTTACCTTGCCACTTATCAGCGGCAACACGAAGTGCATTGCAGGTTTTCGACCCTCCAGGATATGAAGCTTTATGGTACATTCGAAGGGTAACTTTCGAGTGCTCTCGCGTTCATACAAAAAAATTATGCAATAGAGCAACTTTGCATTATTACTAAAATAATCAGGCCATTAACGATAAGGAAGAATGGACATAACGTGCATATCTGCATGTCCTCGTTGTAGAGCCCTTAAGCTGTAGAATTCAACAATTTCAAGGAGTACTCGCAAACGGCCACTGGAATGTGCATAGGCACAATCTCGCAGGCTTAGCTTCTGCCACCATGCTCTCTGCCTACAGATTTGTGGCTGCAAGCACTGAAAGTACTTGGACTGCGCCAAAAGCTGTGAGCATCCGAAACATTTTCGGTTGCACGTAGCCTCCGAAACCTGCCGGCGCACATTTTCTGAGGCCACAGGTGCAAAAAACCAGAAGAAACCACGGTAACCATGATGGGGAAGAAGCCACCTTAACTACCCTAACTGGAGTGGCCACCCCACCCCAGGCACGGAAGCAACATGCATGTCGCGTCAGCCGGAAAGGCTCTTGCCGCTAGGAGTGCTGTAGCAATAGTGAAAAAAGGTAATATATTTATTTTATGCAAAATTTTTCTAAGTAATTTTTTTGAAGTAATAATAAATAAAACTATTAAGATAATTGCCAACACGTGCACATAATTTATGTCATTAAATATTTAATGAGTCTACATACATTTTGCATAATCTACTGACTTTTAGCAGGTCCGGCTACGGATTTTGTCGTAGGGCCATTTGGCAGCACTGTTTGCGTGTCCCATTTACCATCATCCTGTTTGGTTCTCACACATGCTCTTCAATCTTTCACCACATTTATGAGACGATATTCTACCGCCTTTATGAGATGATTTTTTGCAGTGTTCACAGGACGCCGATTTTCGCACTGTTGGTCACGATGGGCTAGACAAAATTGGGAACTCTGCATGTGTTCGGTTCAAGAAAGCGTCAGATCAAGCTCATATCCATGGCAGGGCTTGTTCTCCCGCCAGTGTGTGGTGACAATCGCATCAATCCTTCTAGCAGAGCAGCTTCTGCTTTGTTTCTGCAGGACAATGACTGCATTGATACTTCTCGCGACGTCGAGATGGCTACACGATCGATGCAAGAGTCTGTCATCACAAGTGTGGCTGGCGTTGGTGTTTCGTGCTCAAGTGTGCCTGATGCATCGCGCACGCTAACCCCAGTGATAGCGGCCCCGAACAGTGCGACCGCGTTGTGAACTGCGAATTGCAAACAAGTTTTCGGACGTGCGAGGAGTTAGCTGCAGAAGACAGCGAACGTGCTGCTGTGCAACTAAAGCTCGGCGTTATGCCGGAGACGGAGAGGAAGTTTCAGATTATGCCTGAACCTAAAGATGCCACCGCTACGACTGAAGACAATAAATATTTCCTCGTGCAAAGGGATGCCCTTAGTGACCTGCTGCATGACAAGCAGAAAAAGCGGCAAAAGAGCCCCAAAGGACACATCTAGCTACTATGCAGGGTCATTTTATACCAAAATGTGTGTTCGAAACTACCGAAGTCTATTTTCTTAAAGCGACTTTTTTGGCCAGAGAGGCTGTTTAGTTAGATGATACCTCTGCAACCGTTCATCTTATTTATATCAGATTTGTTTTTTTATGTACCTTAATAAATTGCCCACACACTCACAAAGCCACCTTTTCAGATTATTGAGTCAGTAATTTGTGATTACTGATTGAAATTTCATTGATAAAAGCCAAATAGCAAACACTTAATCCAGTGCTCTGCTGAAAATTTTTAGCAAGGAAATTTTAAAAGAGGGCTCTGTCATAGTGTAGAGCACCCATCCAGGAATCATCATAGTTAATTTCACAGTGCTAGCAAATTCACTAAATTCACCAGTGCCTGATTAAAAACCTTTAACCCATGTGGACTACGCTGATAAATGATTGTAACTTGAGAACCAGTTAATATAAATGCATAAATGTTTGCAATTATTAAAATGGCATTGCTATTAGCCTACCCAGGGAAGTTCATTAGGATATCTCAAGAAACAAAAAAGTTGCCCTTCAAAGGTAGCCTCCACCCTTAAGGTTACCCACACATCCATACATATGAGCGCACACGTATACTAACTCTTCCCAAGGTTAGTTCAGATCTTACCTAGGGGTGTCCAAATAGCGAAATTTCTTCTCAAAATGAATTCAAATGAAGTAGTGCTGAATAGCAGGCAAAAACATCAAACATCATACATACACAAACATTTTATTGATAAGTGAAAGAAAGAACAAAGAACTGAAATCGACTCAAGGGCATAACGCGGTAAGTGACTGGGGCTGAATCAATGCGAATAGTCATGTAGAACACACAAGCTGTTCCACACAATCTGGCTTCAGGCTGTGTGCCGTCATGTTACTTTTATCGAAGTTGAAAACAGATGCTAGCTGGACGCCAGACAAGCAGGGATGGGAAGGTATTGCAAGGCAATTTTCATAACACTTTGATAAAATGCAACTTTATGCTCTTTGGAGTACTTCGAACGATCATCCTTCTCTTAGATTCGGGACCTCATTGAGGTAGTTTTGAACCTCTTGACATTAAGGTCTGAGCTCATTATTTTTTTATGCTAGCAGTTTGAAAGTCTCTAGAATATTTCCCTGGCCTTCTTTGCTGGAGCTATGACATGCGGAAATGACAGGATCTCCTTTAAAATAAACATACTGCCACGTGTGTTTAGAAAAGATGCGGACCTAACCTAATCACTTTCTTTATCCGTTTTTTG